TTATACGATTAATAAATAAAAATTGGTAACAAACAAATAGCGCATCTCTACTTGGATGCTATATGCAAACTCTAACTCAACAAAACTGAAGCTGAATAAATATTTGCCCCAAACTTGCTTGTCCTCCTACACTCCCTCTCTCAGCTTGTAGGATCATCATCTCCCTCAAAGCCAAAATTAGCTGTCAGATTATTAATTTATCTGAAAACCATTTACTGAGTACCTATCACATACCAGGCACAAAGCCAGGTACTGGGGTAATGAGTAAAATATGGTCCCTATTCCCAAAGCAGTGAAGGTAAAAGATATAGAAATAACTACAGTATGGTATGACAAATATCACAGGAGAGGAATATACAAAGTATGTGACAACACTAAAAAGGTGTAACTATGCTACCTGGAAAAGTCTGTGAACATTTAATAAAGGAATGTTTAAGCTTAGTACTGAAGGATTAGGATGAGTGAACTGGGCTAACTATGAGGTGAAAAGTCAATATAGACAGGGAAAAAAAGTACATGCAAAAACACAGCAGCATAGTAACAAAACGTGCTTGGGTGGCTTAAATAAGAGGTAAGGAACAAGAGAATAGCTGGAGAGGTGGACACAGGCCAGATCAGAAAGGGAAGAGCTCATACATTGTGCAAAGGAACTTATTTATTCATTTACACACATGAGAAACCATTAAGAGTTTTTAAGACAAACCACATGACCAACTATGAATTTTGGCAAGCCATCAGTAGCCCCAGTACAGAAGACAGAAGAAGAGCAAGACACTGAAAGGGAAGTTAGGTGACCCTAATTCCAGTAGAACCTTGAACAATCCTAAACATGAGATACTGAAGGCATAAATAACGTAAGACATCACAATATGGAGTCAAAAGAATTCTGAGAAATATTTAAGAGCATAAGGTTAACTAATAAATTGTGAGGAACAGTGAAGAAAAAAACCTAAGATATTTGCTAGGTTTCTGACTTGACTAACTGATTCAAAACAGCTGGAAGAAACAAATTTTAGTCTCCTACCTCTTATGGAACTTAAGACAGGAGTGTTCTTTCCAACTATAGGATTACACATTTCGACTTCAGTTCTGTTGGGCCAGACTACAATGAAGGGAATAGTTACCTTCATTCAGTACAAAAATCTAGAACCCAAACTCCAAACACTAAGCAGAACCCCACCAGAACCGGGGGGTGGGAGCAGAAATAGGAAGACCCTGTAAATCTGTGGCTAAGGGACTCACACAGCCTGAGGTAGGTACACCAATTTTCCATAGCTCCCAAAACAGTTTTGCCTCTCTTGTAAAGGAGACTAGGTAGGGCTAAGGACCATGGCTAAGTTTCAAAAGCGTTATCAGTCCGCTATCTGGCTGGCTGGTAAGCTGAACAGAAAAAAAGGCACAATCTCAGTGAAAAAAGAAAAGAAAATCCCTAATATTAGCAACTAGAGAGACAAAAGTTTCATTCACAAGCAAAAGTTTCACAAGCAATGATGGCAGAGAAGTAAAACGCTGACTGATCTAACCACTTGTGTGTAAGGAGCATTTTCATGTTAATACTTTAAGCATCTCATATAAATATTCTAACTATTGCTAAGTACTGGTCAACAATCAAAATGAAGCAATGCTCTACTGACAGAGCCAGCCAGGTGCCCCTAAACACAATTTTTATTGATTAGTGGCATCATGATTGCATAGGTCCTACAGCTTTCAGTCAAGTTCAACATAAACTGCATTACATACGGTCCTCAAAAGGGAGGCTGTAATACTTTCCTAGAAGGTAATGTATAGCCATACAATAAAAAGCAATACAAGAGAGATGTCACAGAAGACAGCAGTAGTGTTATAAGAGCTCGGAAAAGAAGAGCTCTCATCCCAGTGTGACTGATGGTGAGAAGCCTTCTTTGGAGTCACACTAGACTCAAGGTCACACTTGAGTTTGACCTTAAAAGATAAGTGGGATTTTATGGGGCAGACATGGGAGAAGTTAACTGAAGCAAAACTACTGGCATGAATCAAGCTATGGAGCCAAGAAGCCAACAAAATTATCTGCAGATGAGTATGTGCACAGAATACAAGTCCAGTAAAAGATTTCACAGTCAAGTAAGTTTGGTTAATAGAGCAGACCCCATTCTAGAACTGTAACGGCTAACAGCAAAGGAAAGGCTCTTGAGAAAATCTGTGGTAAACACTAACTGCGTGACCAAAATTTATGAAAAGTTTCTCAAATTTACTTTACCAAAGAATGACCCCTCTACTCCATACAACATCACAAAACTTAGGTCAGAACATTGCAGTAGTAATAAAGTATTTATTCTGATACAAATTGTCACCACATACAAGATATAACAATAATGAAACTGATTTGTCCCAAAAGCAGTATTAACTTGATATTTTATCTCTACTATTAAGGTAGCTCCATGTCCAAATTGTTGTGGTTATATTTTTCTTCAAAAAAAAGTATTAAATGAATAACCTTCTAAAAGAAGCAGATGTTTTCTCTAAAGAAAGTTTCCTAGATTCATAAAAAATTTTGGAGCCATTCAAAAGTTAAAAATGCTAGATAATTTTAGAAGTAAAAACAAAAAGAAAAACAAAAAAAAGTTTAAAAATATAAGGCTTAGGGGCACCTGGGTGGCTCAGTGAGTTATAAGCCTCTGCCTTCGGCTCTGGTCATGATCCCAGATCCTGGGATCGAGCCCCACATCGGGCTCTCTGCTCAGCAGGGAGCCTGCTTCCTCCTCTCTCTCTCTGCCTGCCTCTCTGCCTACTTGTGATCTCTGTCTGTCAAATAAATAAAAACTTAAATATATATATATATATGTATATATATATAAGGCTTAGACTATTAAAAAAATGAAAGGCAAACAATAATCCAACAAAAAGATGATGTGGAAGACTTACTCTTTGAAAACTAAGTAATTTTCATGATTGTACAAGACAAACTGTTCAACCACTTCTCAAAAGGGCAAAGAATATATTTATTTAACTGGTTCCAGTCAAAGATGCAGATCAAATTTCTGTATTTAGCAATGCAAATGGGCAGTTTCCACACATGGGTTGATCCTACAATTTATACTTAAGAACATTTCATCCTTAAAAATCAACACAAATCATAGCCACAATGTCTATATACACATATGAGTGTGAGTATGAGAAAACACACACAAAAAGAGTTTATTAGAGTGGAATGAAGGTTTCAAAAATTTTCCAGTTTCTGTAATTTTAAATTATTTTTGTAATTGAAAAATAAATGAACCGATGGTACCATATCTCTCATCCTAACTTTTCCTCTAACATTTTAACTAGTCTTACATGAAATATACTGCAGCCATTGAAACCAAGAGCTCTGAAATCATACTACCGGTTGTGACACTTACTAAGAACTTGGGCAAGTTAATTAAATCCTCTGTGCCTCAGTTTCCACATCTGTACAACAGGAAAACAAAATACCAATTTCCTGGGGTTGGTGTAATAATTGAGATAATCCACAAAAAAACACAAATGATCCAAAACCACAGAAATCACTTAATAAATATTAACATGTACATGTTTTACATCACTGCTGATAAGTTTCACTAAAAACTCAGATGAAAGTTCTACAGTGCAGTGAAAGTGGCCAAATGCCACAGGATACTGCTTTGATATCCGACCCACCACAGAGATCAAATCTGGCTTCCTGAGTGGTCTGAAAATTATTACCAACATGTCACAGGACAGGAAATGGAAAGCCTACCACCAATACAACCTGGAAAATAGCCAATTTATTAACATAAAACCATAATCTCAGCAAATCTGTTCCACTGAACTGTATACACCCATTACCAAGTTGGATTTTTACATTCTTAATGAACTATGTGTGATTGAAAACACATGCTTAAGACACAATTTCCAAAATATAAGTACTATATAGTTACATTGACCTCTTAAAATCATTTGACCCATTTTCCAAGCAAAGAATCAGTCTTTGAAGAGTGTGGGAGGTAGGCTGTGGGAGGGTGAGGCATGGTTTCTGACAATAGTGGCTGTTCCTATCAACCAGAGGTCATAAAAGCATACTCGATTTGAAAAAGTATCTGTAAGTCACACACCTGGTTTTTAAGCCACACTATGTAGCAACAATCAGCATCACCTTTTAAGATGAAAATCAACAATACATACATTAGCACTCTTACAGGTACTCTTGAGCTACACAGATAGTATTTTCTAGTGACTCACAAAGGCACATAAAATTGACATCAGTTAAACTATTTCCATACCGACCTCGTCAAAAGAATCTTGTAAATTAAATTAAACTGTTCAGAGATGAAAAGCAAAGCATTTCTGGAAAGATTCAACAATCAATGACACAAGCCACAATGATGCTGCAGTAACTTAATTGCATGGATCAAAAAAGTTTATATAGTGAACTTCTGAATTACCAAAAACAAAAAAAAAAGGAAAGAAAATGGTTGATTCAATTCTTATAAATAAGGGGTTTTTTTCCCCTCCAAAAGAAAAAGAAATTTCGGAAATCTTATATATATGTATAATAGGTAATTAACTTCCTGTGCTCCAGTTTTAAATACTATACAAATAAAGCCTATTTTATGCGGAAATTATTTGAGATTCTAAGGTAGTTTCTGATCTAAGTTCAAGATCAAAACACAAATGTTACACATATACACAAATTATGTCTTGATATAACACATAAATTTAGACAAAAGATAGAAAAACTGAGTATTAACTTTGGGCAATTTTAGAAAAGGTAAAACCCACTCTGAGTTCAATATTTATCTTCTCCTGGGACCTACTTGCACTCTATTAAAAGGTCCTTCGACAGTTCCTAAAGGAAATAGGCGAAATCTTAAAAGAACGTCCGAGGGTATATACCTAATCCGTGTAGGTTTGACATCATGTAGGTATCTGTTATAAGACAACCAAGACAAGAGCCTTGGCATCAGCTGACCCAAAATCCGTGAACATAACAGCTAACGAATCTTCACTCATACAATGCAACTCACCTTGCAGCTCAGAGGCATAGCAAAATCGGTGGCTGTTTTTTGCGCTGCCTTTGGATTCTGCATCTGTTTCAAAGCTAAAAACCTAGCTACCCTGGGAGCTCCACCTGAAGAAAGCTCGACACAACAAAAACTACTGCAATTTAAAAGATACCTTGGGTTTTCTACTGAAGAGGTTACAGAAATTTTGCCAGGTGGGACCTTTTTTGTCCTCCTTCAAACACTGGAGAATCATTAAGTTAAATCCGCTTGCTTTGGAGGGCCCTAAAGTCAACTGCTTCCACCCAAAATTAAAAATAAAAATCTCCAACCTCACTTCCCTCTTAAAAGACTAAAACTGAATCCACGCTCCAACTCGGAAATGAAGTAGAATGCCTTTCAACCCACCACACCCTCTTTCCTCATAACGCAGCCCAATTCCCGGCCGCCGGCGAACTGGAACTGTGAAAAAGGGGCTGTGGGTTCCGGACCAAACCGGCCCGGAGCCACGGAAGGGGAAGAGAAACAGCAGCACCAGGGAGCCCGACAGGTGCGTCTACGCGTGACGTCACCACGTTGACGCGAACGGCCGCTCAGCGTCTGGCCGCCGAACACCTCCCCCACCGGCCGCGGTTGGAGCCGCATCCGCGCCTATTGGGCAATGTGGAAACGGTGGGCGGGCCGGTGCCCGGGCGGAGGAGGGGCCAAGCGAGCTGGCCAGCCCTGACCGACCGCGCTGGGGGTAAAACCTTTCCCTGGCGAGTAGCTCACGTCACTCATGCTGGGCTGTTTGCCCCTCTGGTGACCTCGCGAAAGGACACGAGGCGACCGCCTTGGGGGGAACATTGTCGGAAGGCCGCAGGCGCGCGCGGTCCCCGGCGTCCTCGGGTGCTCCGATTCCACGCCGGCAGGAGCTCCGGAGCAGCGTGTGAAGTGCCGGCAAGCGTCGGCCCCGAAAACGGAAGGCTGAAGCGGCGGTTCTCGAGCTCTACTTCGAAACAGATCGAGAGAAATGGCCTTCAGCACCAGATGATGTCTGTGCTTCCAATCGCGATGAGGGAATGCAGCGGGGCTCCCCTTCATATGTCTTCATATGTCTTCATATGTCGTTGAGGGTTCTGTGCCAAAGTTACGTACAGAGAAAACTGATAGCCCAGTTTTAGCTATTACGCAGTTTCAAGCATAATGCTTGGAAATTAAGGGTTTGGGGGAAAACACGGAATTTGAGGATTCCACACGGCCGAACTGAATTTATTTACTTTCAGCAAGCGTTTATTAAATTAACGTGTGCCAGCCCCAATTCGGTAAACCCGGCCCCCGTGCTCAAGGGGTTTATATTCCGGTGCAATAATGAATAACTGTTCAAAAAAGGAGCACTGTTCTTTAAAGAGTAACGTGGGAAGAAATTTTACGGAGGAGTTGACATCTGAACTGGAATTTGAAAAAAGTTGACGCGCGGATAGGGGGGCGGCGGGGAGGGGCAAACAGTATAGAAACCTCTGGCAAGGGGGGAAGAAATCTAAAGTTATATGTTATCCTTGCTTGAATATAATATGCAAAATGTACTCTGGGGATAATGAATTGAGGTGATGATGCGGAAATCAGCAGCTATGCTAAAGAGTTCTTTTTTTATCCATGGTAACTGGGGATGGTTGGAAAGTTTTCGTTTGTAAGTAGTCCCCCCCCCCGCGCAAGGTTGTTTTGAGAATATCCACGGGGCACCTCTGTGGCTCAGTCCATTATCTGGCTTCTGCTCAGGTCATGATCTCAGGGTCCTGGGATCCAGCCTCCCTTGAGCCCCATGTAGGGCTCTCTGCTCAGTGGGGGGGAGTTGGCTTCTCCCTCTCTATGCTCTCTTGCCCTCTTTCAAGTCAATAAATAAAATCTTTTTTTATTTTTTAAGATTTTATTTATTTGACAGAGACAACGGGAGAGAGAACACAAACAGTGGGAGAGGGAGAAGCAGGCTTCCCGTGGAGCAGGGAGTCTGATGCGGGGTTGGACCCCAGGACCCTGGGACCATGACCTGAGCTGAAGGCAGACGCTTAATGACTGAACCACCCAGATGCCCCAATAAAATAATTTTTAAAAAGGAAAAAATATCCAAACGACCAGAAAACTTGGAAGAATAGTACATTGCATACCCATATGCGATGATTTTTTCATTTCTCTAAGGTATATGATAAATACTGAAAATTTATGTTTGTGTTGCTTGAATTCAAGTTAAAATAGCTGAATATGACATATCATGGGCATGACAGGATCAGTCATATTAAAAAAATTCTGCTATATTTGTTTCCTCTATATCGTGATTTTTTCCCCCCGAAGCATGAGGAAAGTAGGATGCAGACATTATACTTTACCTTTAGATACTTCAACATGCATCTCCTAAGAATAATAACTTCCCCAGCACAAGAACAATAACATTATCACAACTAGGAAAATTAGCAATAATTCCCTGATACCTAGTACCAGTCCATACTTAAATTTTGCCAGTTGTTAAACAAATCCTTACAGCTTCCCCCCCCCCCCAGACCGGATTCAATCAGGTTTCAAGCATGGCATTTTGTGTATGTTTTTTTTTTTTTTAAGATTTTATTTCTTTATTTGACAGAGATCACAAGTAGGCAGAGAGGCAGGCAGAGAGAGAGGAAGGGAAGCAGGCTCCTTGCTGAGCAGAGAGCCCGATGTGGGGCTTGATCCTAGGACTCTGGGATCATGACCTGAGCCTAGGGCAGAGGCTTTAACCCACTGAGCCACCCAGGTGCCCCTTGTGTATGTTTCTTAACTCTCTTTTAATCTTCAAAGTTCCTCCCCCAATTTTTCATGATATTGATGTTTTAAAGAGACCAAGGACATTGTTTGATAAAATATTGCACATTAAATAGTTTTTTTTTTTTTAATAAAGAGTAAGCCATGGCTATTGTAGGCTGACTGTGTCCCCTCAAAGATCCTCCCCCACCATAAATATGACTTCATTTGGAAATATGTTCTTTACAGATGTGATCAAAGTAAGGTCATTAGGGTGGGCTAATTCAGTATAATTAGTGACCCTATAAGAAGAGGAGAGACAAAGACAGAAAGATGGCTATGTGAAGATGGGAGCAGAGAGTGGAGTTAGGCTGTCAAAAGTTAAAGAAAAATTGGGGCTACCAGAAGCTGGAAGAAACAAGGAAGCATTCTTTCCTGGAGACCTTAAAGAGAGTGTAACCTTACTGACACCTTAATTTTCAGACTTCTAGACTCCAGCATTGAGAAAATAAATTTCTGTTGTTTTAAGCTCCTCAGTTTGTGTTACTTCGTTATAGCAGCTAATTGTATTATAATTGTATTTGTATTAGGAAGCTAACACAATAACTTTTTAAACATTTTGAAACAATACAGAAAATTCAAATTGAAAGTTGATGCCCTGCAAAACCTGACCAACCTTAGTTTCACTATCCACAAAAAAATACTGTGAAGTATGTTTGAGGTAATTTCCCAGCAACTTTCTAGGCATTTACAAAGGTACATATAAAAATGTGGAGGAAAGTTGATTCACCAGAAGCCCTGTTGAGAGATTCCTGCCTTAGCTTGGCCAGATATTTTGATAATTGTTTAGGGTAGAAGACCCTAGATGTGTATCAGCTGGTTCCCAGAATTCAGGGAAGCACATGAAGCTACTTGGCATGAAATAAGAGGACTTTGTTCAACGTTTGAGAGGGGAAAGGGGGGAAAAAGAGCCAGGTTGCCCCAGATAAGTACTGGAGTAAATTGTTGGAGAAGAGGGATGCCTGGATGGCTCAGTTAAGTATCTGCCTTTAGCTCAGGTCATCATCCTAGGGTCCTGGGATTAAGTCCCACATCAAGCTCCCTCTGCCTGCTCAGCCTGCTGCTCCCTCTGCTTGTGCTCTCTCTCTCTCTCTGACAAATAAATAAATAAAATCTTCAAAAAAAATTGTTGGAAAAGAGTTTGCCATCAAGTGTTTTACAGGGGGATGTGCAAGAGAACTGTGTACTTTGCTTCCCTACCAAATTTTTATTAAACTGTGTATTACAAGTGCTTTTGACTATGTGCACTTCTTGGGCCCTCCAGTATAAGAGTAATGAATATCTGACTTACATATATATCTTGGATCTTCAAGGCACACAGAACTCAATAAACATTAATATCAACATTTTAGATTCTTCAACTCCTTTTTGTTAGCTGCATATAACAGAAAAGGGGTGTAACTAGGGTCCTGGGGCAATTTATTTGTGGTTGCAGGACTGTGGTCCCTGCTTTCTTACTAGTTATTGACCAGGATTGCTTTATGGCTCCTAGAGACCATCCTCGATTCCTAGCTCCATAGCCCTCTTACCACATGGCAGCTTATCCATCTTCAAAGCCAGCAGGAGAATTTCTCTTGAATCTCTCTTACTTCTTTCTAGGGGGTCACCTAATTAGGCCAAGCACACTCATCATAATCTAATTTTTTATTAATTTGAAGTCAATTGACTAATAAACTTATAATGAAAGTGAAATCCCTATATTCACAGTCGAGCCCACACTGTGGAGAGGCAATTACACCAGGTGTGTACATCAGGGCATGAGAAGCTTGAGGCCATCTCAGAATTCTGCCTACCACAATCCACCTTCAAGACCCTGAAGATTTACAGGTAAAAAAACGTTCACCCTTTTCCAAGGTTCCGATTGGTCTCATCCCAATACAGCATTAGCTTGAAGTACAAAACCTCATCTTAATCTAAATGTCATCAGCTCAAACTCCAAAATCTCTTCCAAATCAGATGAAGATGAGGTTCCTGGTTGTCATCTATTAATTCTTCATTGGCAGACCTGTAAAACTAAAAAGCCAGGTTATCTCGTTCCAACATTCCCAAAATACAATGGTGGAACTGGTAGAGGATAACAGTTGCAAGCATTCCAGTTAAAAAAAGAATAAAAGAAGATAGGAGTCACTGTTCTCAAATGCACAGCCACCTATCAAAAGTGATGAAAGAGTGCTCCTTTTTTCCCTGATACAATAGCTGGTTTGGGTTTTGTTTTATTTTGTTTTTGTTTTGAGAAAAGGAAGTCCCATTTGTATTACCCTCACCTGAAACGGTTTTATACCTTAATAGGCTTAAGCACTAGCTTTATTGGTTCATTTATCCTATTCTACTAGCTGACAATATCACAGACTAAAATCACTGTATTCATTTCCTGATTCAGTGCTGGCACCAACCCATAAATCATGTTTCTCTCAATGTAACTTTGTACCAAAACCCCCTTTGCTCTTCCCTGTCACTAGGTCTTATATAAGTTTATAGCTAGGAGTTCACACATATTTCCATAAGTCTGAATCTCAGGCTATGCCACTTACATAGGCAAAACACTCTAAAGATTCTCATTATCTAGTCCTGGAACAATGAGGTCTAGTCACCCAACATACACAGTAATCAGCAGGCCTCTCAAATGACCTTTGTAGGATCAAGAAATTTAGCTTCTTGCAATTAAAATAAACTGTACTCTATTATAATGAATATTCCAAAAATTGTTAATCAGGTTTACATGGAAAACCAAAGATTAAAAATTCTTCTAAGGACCTGCCAAAATTAGGGATTCTCCCCCTTGTTGCCAGCAAAGTCTACACTGGTATTTTTTGAGTGCAGAGTTAAAAATTATAGGATATCAGGCAAAAGAGGTCCACTGTTTAAAAGTTCATTATAACATACAGTCCCAGAAATATCCAAATATTACGTGCTTGGTGTCGTGTGGTAAATCACATTAATACAATGATATCTCCCCAATATACTACCAGATAAGCAATCCAGAGGTCACAGAAAGGCTAACTTACCATGAGAAACAAGTGGGTAAAGAAAATTAACATACTTAAGGTAGGGTACAAGTGCAGAGAAAAGACCTATGATTTGAAACACGTGGTTATGCAGTGCTCATATGTCCTGTCTCTTTTTGGCATATTAGCCTTCCTGTTGATGGTGAGGTAATTAGGATGAGAGTAGATGTTTGAGCCAAAGTTCAGAGATGGAAGATGCCTATAAGCCAATGACACTCTGGCTCTACCAAAGAGATGCAGGGAAAAGAGTGCCTGGGCACATCCGTAGCTTGCCAATTAACCTGGTGAGCAGGTTTTGCACTTTTGGAGCAGGTCATGTGGGACACAGTGTGAGCGTCACCACTGGAGGGCAGAATTAAGACCCATGAATGTTGAGTGTCTCATGTAATATTGAATGTTTCATGAAAATATAGTGTTCAATGAACATTAGATGCTCTCGTATGCTTAGTGCTTCATTAATATTAGGCACCTCTTGGTCTTTCCTAGCCCTTTCTACCTATGTTCACAAGTATATGCCCTGCTGACTTTATCTATCCACCATATGTCACAGATTAGTAATTTTATCTCTGCTTAACTTGTGAGTTTTGCCCATCCTATTTCTTTTTTCCCAGGGCAGAATCGAATATTCTCAAACAGTACAGTTCTGGGCTAGAGTTGGTCTTGTGCTCATGGTGATGATGGGGGCACTCACGATATGGTCAAACTTTGTATGACTCTTTCATTACTTTTAACAAGGTAGCATTCATTGAACCATAGTAATATCCAAGCACAATATTATTTTACTTGGAACACCACTGAACACATTTTACAAGGGATTTACAGACATTAGATGTCTTCTTCTCTCACTGCAGATATGTAGCCTAATTTTGGGAAGGAGCACAGAGATTCTGGAGATAGTAGATAATAGTCACAAGCTATTAATCATAGCTACTTTCTATGATCCTTTTATTAATCAGTCCTAAATCCTTTCATGGTAGTGTTTTAGTTCCTACATAGGGGATTATCCTAAGGATCTCTTGGAAGCAGGCAAGAATGAGTCGACTTGCACATTTCGTTCTCTGTAATATTATTTATGCTGTGCACTACCTTATTTCTTTACAGGAATGTGTTTATTTTGAAATCCATGATTTCTAACATACAACCATCTTGCCAGCAGTTCTCAACCTTCATTTTGCCTCAAAACCACCCAGGGAGCTTCAAAAAATACTCTCGCTTGGGCTTCACTCTCAGAAAGTGTTTTAATTATTCCAAGTTTAGGCCTAAACATGCATATTCCTAATTATTCCCAGTTAATAAGCAGCATTCAGTCAGAACCAGTACTTTAGACACGGGGCAATCTATTTAAACAATGTGCTACATGATAGTTTGGTGATACAACAATAGATTCCATCGGGGGAAGAACCTTCTCTATAATTCCTTTGATATTTTTGTTAGAAGAATCTGGTGGTGATAAATCTCCTCTTCAACAGACTTGGGTGTTTTACATGGTAAGGACTATAACCAATGCCCTTGAACATTTTCTTTATTTGTCCCAATGTGAATACTTCAGCTTGATCTCATTCCTTCTCAGCAAGTGTTATAGAAGGGATCCTGTTTGATTGGGAAGATCCTTTATTTTAGGGAAGGTGGCTAAGAAGGAGCTTCCTCGGGCTGAGGTAACTCTCAATAAGGTGTTTTTACAGATCTAGCTGTGGGCTTCTCCTACACAATAAAAAGAATTTACCAGTCAGCCAGATCTACGTTGCTCCTGGAGCCTTAAGAGAATAGGAGTTTGCATTAATATGCTATTGCAACAAATTCCCACAAATTTCATAGCTTGAATTGACACACATTTATTATCTTAAGAGTTCTGTAGATTAGAAGTTCAACTCAAATCTTACTGGGTAAAATAAAGGTGTCAGCCTCCTTTTAGAGGCTCTAGGGGAGAATCCATTTCTGTGTCTTTTGCAACTTCTACAGACTACCTCCTCAATCTTCAAAGCCAGGAACAGTGGAGTTGAGTCCTTCTCATATCCTATCATTCTGAACTTTTTCCATAGTCACATTTCCTCCTGATTCTCTCTTGCCTTCCTCTTTCATTTTTAAGGACTCTTGTGATAACATTGGGCCCACATGGATAATCGAGGCTCATCTCCCTATTCTAAGGCCAGCTGATTAGTAACTTTAATTCCATCTCCCCACTTCTCATGTAACCTAATACATTCACAGATTCCAGGGACTGGGGGCGGGGACATAACTGGGTGGCCATTATTCTGCCTACTATACATTGCTTAATTTATCTTTTGACCACAGATCTTAGTATGCATTTTAAAAAGTCCTCAGTAGGGTAAGGTGGGTGGGAGGATTTGATAAAGGTGTCAAAAGCTACAAACTTTCAGTTATAAGATAACTAAGTACTGGAAATGTAATGTACAACATGACTAAATAGTTAAGACTGTTGTATAGTATATTTGAAAGTTGTTAGGGCAAAAAATTCTAGAGGTTCTCATTATAAGAGAAAAACATTTTTTCTCTTTCTTCTTTATATGAGATCATGGATATTAACTAAACTTATTGTGATAACCATTTCATAATATATGTAAGTTAAATCATTAAACTGTACATCTTAAACTTATAGAGTGCTGTATGTCAATGAGATCTTAATAAAATTGGAAAAAGAAATTAGCCCAAACAAAAATTAGTAAGCCCTCAATATATAAGAAATATTTGGAGGCATAGCAAAATAAGTTATGTGAATAACATCAGGTTCTTGCACGGTATATTACAGTTTCTTTTGATTAGAACTGAGCTGAAGTATTAATAACAAAAACTCTATCAATACTCAAATTAGTTTTCCTCCCTCCCCACTAAGCAGCCAACAAAATCTTTAAGCCTTCAAGGAAGGGAAAAAAAGAATAACTCACAGTGGTAAGAATTTATCTATTCCAACCAGGTCTAGAACTGCTTGTTCACTAGTCTTGCTGCTACTGTGGCAGATACAGAGAAACAAATGGTGGAGATTACCAGAGAATGGAGGTTGTATTGGCCATCCCCTTCTGCCAACAATTCTACCACTCTGGGAGTGTCATGTTGTATGGTACAGAATTGGCAAAAGAAGTCAAAAGGATATGCATATTGCTAGCATACCTTCTACAAAGACTGTTGCAGTTTATAGTTCCACCAACAGTCTATGACAGGAGCCTGAAAAATGATCTAAGGAGGTATCTGACTAGCCATTCTTCATGAAAGCAGCTAAAGAGAATTGACTTGGATTAGCAATTGGCAACATTCCTATGTTGCTTTGCTGTACAACCGTTATGTGGGTAGAGCTAGAGTTATTGTGCATTGTGACACCAAAATTCCTACTAACTGAGGGTTGGAGGGGTCACAGGAGGTTAGCCTAGAAATGGGAAAATGAGGAAAACAAGTCTTTTGCATGGGTGATGATTGAAGAGGAGATAAACCAAAGCAGATTTTTCTCCAATTTGCCAGGTTAGATGACTTGCAGTGCCATCTTCTGGCAAAGAAGCCAAAAACTTTCAATTTCCATGCTAGTAATAAAGTACTTTCTTTTCTTTTCCTTTTTTCCCTTTTCTTTTTTTCTCTTTTTTCTTTCTTTCTTTTTCTTTTTATGGGTTTCTTATAAAAGCATGGCTAAACCGAAAACTGGAAAAACTCAGAGAGGTCTTGGGTGTTGGTGTGTTGGAGAGAGGATGAGAGAGAAGGAAGCAGATTTTGTTGAAGCAATGATCTGAATCTTTGACCTCGGAGGTTTCTGGCAAAATCTGTGGACACTCCAGCAGGCTGCATACATCACATATACAACAGGTATAACCTGGAGTGTAACTTATGTAGTAGACAAGCCATCATCCTCCTTCAGCTTCAAATTTGGATTCTCCTGTATCTCAGGGGTACTCTAGGTAAGGCAGTTTAGCCCTGGGGTTATTCAGGACAATAGACCTAATCCCTTATACAGGAAAATCTGTTTCTATCTTTTAGAGTCCTGCCATGAAATTAGACTATATTTCAATATACTGGCAAGTAATTTATACACACATTGGATGTAAATGTGTAGAAAACCACATTATAGTCTTTAAAATTTTTTTTCAATACTTAAAAATAGTTTCTTGCTTTAATCATCCAAAATGTACTAGAAAAAGCCTCGCTTTTTAAAGCAAAATTACTTTTTAAAATGCGGTATTCCTAAGTAACAGACTTCATGTTAAAAAAAAATCCCTTTCTCTATGTATGTGGGACAAATTTATAAAATGCTTTATTCAAAACAGCTCTAACCCTCATCTCTGCCTTAACTCCTTTCCTTCCTTTTCATTTTTTCATTCTCTGGCATCATCTCCCACCTGCTGTGCCTTGGCCCCGCCCCTCCGCGCCACTCCTTCCCCGCCTCCCCCAATGCGTGCCGGCTTCCGCACGCTGACGTCACACGTCAGCGCCAGTGACGCGCCGGCCGCTCCCCCTTCCTCTGCATTCGCTTTAGGGTTTTGGGGCGCTACGGTGCAGAGTCGTCAGCTCCGAGTCGTAAGCAGTTTTCCGCGTAGCCCCGAGTCCAGTACCGGCGTTGGGAGGCAGAAGGACGTGTCAGGCAGGTAGCTTCCCAGTCCCAAATGCTATCTCCCCACCCCCATCCCGCCGGGGTCACTAGTAACCACCTCTATGAAGTTGCAGGGGCGGTAACCCGGGCACTCCCCCTGCCACCGCCCGCTGTTTCCAAGGGGCTCAGACACCAATTTGTTCGCCCCGTGTAGTGTGGAGCTGTCTCACTGGGCGTTGCCGGAGGCGGGAAGGAGTCAAGCCTGAGGGGTCAGCGAAACTCTGGTATCTGGAGTGGGAGTCTCACTGCCCTCCTTAAACTGGCCTGTGAGGAGCTGCAGGTTAGATAGACTTGGTTTCTCTTTCAGGATGTCATTTTCAAAATCCTGGATGGTGCCCCTGCCTCATTAACTGCTGTAGGAAGGCTGCTACACCTAGACGGATGCGTGTTTATCCCCACCGTTACTCCGACTAACGCTCTGTGTCGTTGAGGTTAGTTAACTTGCGGGAAGCAATGATATGCAAAAGAGTAAAATCATATTGGAAATGAGGAGATCTTGCTTAGACTTGTTTATGTAGAGCTTGCAGGGATACTTTAAGTAGAAAATAATACCTCCACCTCACTAAAATGTTAATTCTCTAAAGAACGATATATATTACAAAGAAGTGCTTGGACGTTAGTTAAAGGATATTAAATGATAAAGGAATTAAAATAACAAATCTTGGTATGCATAAACAGTAATTTACTTTGCATTTATGTTGTCTCTTAAAGTTACATATACATTTTAATTAAACATGAGTAGCAGTTAACTGGTTAGCTTCTAATCTTATATTTCAGTTTATATTATTTGAAACAGTCTCCCTATGAAGACAATAAAAGTTGTACTACTTTAAGAGTTTATCATAACTTTTTTATACAGGACTAATTTTTATTCTCTAATGTAAAGCTCCACCTCCGAGAAACAGTAATTTTTTTATTGCCATGGTAACATCAGAAGTATTTGAAGGATTAAAAGTAATATCCAATGTACGCAAGTAATAGCCCTTTCTTATGATGCAGCAGTATTGTAGAGATGATGGAGGGGAGCCAAATACGGAGAGAAGTAGTCCTTTGTTTCTAGTTTAGATTTGTTTGTTATTAGAGAATCCACAGATCTATTTCACTTAAGATTGCTCTTTGTTCTAGGTGAAAGGTAAGGAGCCTCTTCTTTGGGAAAACAGGTTTTTGCACAGTGGGAGTCAGCATTAACAGTTTAGTGAGGGTTATGGAACTTGGCCACAGTTCTTTTGAGGTCATTTTAATACATTGGCATTGTATTCCAAGTACATTTTCTATAATCTCTCCCCTCTAATCTAAGTTGTGGTCATGACACCATTTCATGAATATAAATTATTTAGATGTTGGTAATTTCCATTAGGGAAGCCGTTAATTGTTGTCTGTATAGGCTTATAGAGAAGAAAAACAAATGTTTTGAAGAAAGTCTAATAGGAATTCCATTTTTGCTTTCTGCTTTTTTGGATAATAAATAAGTCAAGGACTTGACTCACTGAGATGGTAAATTGTCCCCCTCCCACCATCCAAACGTTACTTAATGTTTGGAAAACCATGTATATGGATTGTAGCTGCAGGCAGTACCATAGGGACTTCTTGAAATCTGTTGACATTCCTCTACTAGTGTTTCCCTTCAGGAAAATTTGTTCATCAAATAGCTAAAACAACTGGAGAAACTTAAAGTTCTAGATTGAAGGGGATATAGTTTTTGCTTATATTCTCTGGCATTTTTCATATTTGGTACAGAAATTTTATTATATCAAACATTGCTTATTGTAGCTTAAAATTTTTTTAGTTAAATGTAAGGAAAGATGTCTAATTTGACTAGAGGCTAAGATAGTTTTGTGGAGCATAGTTGACATAGTTGAAAAGAAGTAGGCCGTATAGGAAAACTTTGAATGTCAGTGTTAGAAGTTTGAAAATGGGGAACTGTTGAAAGATTTTAACTGGAGAAATTGATTTAGCTAGCATTCTTCTTCTTTCTGTCAGCATTTATTATTTTTTAAATTTTACTGTTTTGAATAAATAATACATTGATATGGCTTAAAATTCAGAAGGCACAAAAGATTAAAAAAGTCTTCCTCTTAATTACTCAGTTCTCTTCCCTGAAGGCAGCCAATAGTGTACCAGTTTATTGTGTATCCCTTCACAGGTGTTACGTATACAAGCAATTAGGTGAGTCTGTACACATGTAGAGATACCATATATTTGCATATACTCACATGTGTAAGTAAATAAGTGTAAGCATAAACCCATATATATTTCCTTTTAAAGTGTTTTTTTAAAAAAATTTGTATTTATTTGACAAAGAAAGAGCACAAGTAGGCAGAGAGGCAGGCAGAGAGAGGCATAAGCAGGCTCCCCGCAGAGCAGAGAGCCTGACTTGGGGCTCAATTCTAGGACCCTGAGACCACGACCTGAGCCGAAGGCAGAGGCTCAACCCACTGAGCCACCCAGGCGCCCCCATATATTTTTCCTTTTAATACACAAATGATAGTATGCCATGTTAGTAATTCTGATACTTAGAAATTAATCCATATCAATATAAATGTTTCTTCCTTTTGATTTGCTTATGGATATTTACATTTTACCATTTCAGACAGTGCTGTAGAGGAAAATTTTGTAAATGTATAATTTTCACGCATTTGGAAATATTTATAAGGTCGAGTCCTAAGAACGGAATTGCTGGATCATAGCAATTCATTATCACACTGGATCATAGCAATTCATTATCACACTGATAATTTTGGTAGATATTATGGAATTTTATTTTCCCTGGTATTTGTATCAGTTGGTATTCTCATCATATTCTGCTTCCTTATATTCCCTTCTAACATAGTATAGTAACAAACTTTCTGAATTTTGCCATTCTGATGGGTGAAAAATGCATCACTTGTACTTTTTTTTAATCAAGGTAAAATATACATAACAAAATTTATCCTGTACTTTTAAATTATATTTCTCTTTATAAGAGATTGGATACTTTTGCAAATTTTTAACATTAATTACATTCCTTTTTGTTGTTAACTTGTAACTTCAATCCTTTATTTTTCAGTTAGATTAGTTTTTTGGTTCTATGAATATGAGAATGTTTTATTTATTAGAAAAATGAGCCCTTGGTGATAGGAACTAATACATATATATATCATATATATTTTTTCTTTTTGTTATTTGAATTTTGACTTACACTAACTTTTCATATACATTTTTTTAAGATTTTTTATTTATTTATTTGACAGACAGAAATCACAAGTAGGTAGAGAGGCAGGCAGAGAGAGAGGTGGGGAAGCAGGCTCCCTGCTGTACAGAGAGCCTGATGTGGGGCTCGATCCTAGGGCCCTGAGATCATGACCTGAGCTGAAGGAAGAGGCTTAACCCACTGAACCACCCAGGCACCCATACATGTGTTTTAAAAAGATTTTATTTATTTATTCGACAGAGAGAGACACCGGGAGAGAGAGGGAACACAAGCAGGGGAAGTGGGATAGGGAGAAGCAGGTTTCCCACCGAGCAGGGAGCCCGATGTGGGACTCGATCCCAGGACCCTGGGGTCATTATCTGAGCCGAAGGCAGATACTTAACAACTGAGCCACCCAGGTGCCCCATATTTTTTTCTTTTTTAAGTGGGCTCCACGCCCAACGTGGGGCTTGAACTTATGATCCTGGGATTGAGACCTGAGCCAAGATCAAGATTTGGACACTTAACTGACTGAGCCACCCAGGTACCTCTTGTATACATGTTTTTTATGTAGTTACATTAATGCCTTAAGGCTTTTTGGGTTTGTGTCATACTAAGCTGCTCTACTCTAAGATTATAAAAGTCATCCTCCCATGTTTTATTGCTATTTTCGTTTTTTTTTCCCTTTACATTTAAGTAGTTTATTATCTAGAATTTATATTGATGTAAAGTGAAGAAAATGGGTTTAAGTTTTTCTCTTCCGTATTACTACCTAGTTGTCTAAATACTGTTTGTTTCAAAAATCTAACTTTTCCCCACCAATTTGAAGTGTCACTGTGGTCATCCACAAAGTTAAAAATATGATGTTTTGTTTTTGTTTGTTTCGAAAGAGAAAGAGAGAAAGGCAGGGGAGGAGTTGCAGAGGGAGAGAGAGGAGAATCCTGAGCAGCCTTTACAACCAGCATGGAGCCAGATGCGGGGCTTAATCTCATGACCCTGAGATCATGACCTGAGCTGAAATAAAGAATCAAAAGCTTAGCTTACTGAGCCACCCAGGTGTCCCCCCAAAAATGTTTTTGATATGTTTCTGCACGTTCAATTATTTGCCTGTCAATTTCATAATTATTGTAGCATTATATTGTGTTTTGATATTGAATAGAAAAGTCTTCCTTCATTGGTCTTTTTCTTCTTTTTTCAGTATTTATTCTTTTTTTCTCATACTAACTTCAAATCAGCTTGTCTACTCACTGTCACCCACAAAGATTGTGTTTTTGATAGGTCAGAATAAATGTAGAGACTAAGAATTAAAATCTTTTTTATATTAGATCTTTCCACCTGTTTTTTGGGGGGTTTTTTTTTTTTTTGGTGTGTTTTTGTTCTTTCTTGAATATTTTCTGTTGGTTCATTTTCCAGATTAATAGTCCTGACTTCTACTGCATCCTGACTGCTGTAAAACCCTTGCAGTGCCTTCTTAATTTCATATATCTGTATTTCAGTTCTAGAATGTTCATTTAATTTTCAAAAATAAATGTCAGTTCTTTGTTGAAGTTCTCCATCTTTAAGAAAAATCACTTTTGTTCATCTTTTCCTCTTATTTTCTTGAACGTATTTCTTATGGTTATTTAAAATCCGTATTTGAATCATTTGGATTCTATTTCTATTGTTTCTTTCGGTCTTGGGTTATTTGGTTCTTCTTCTTCTACACACCTCATAATTTTTTTACTGGATGTTGTAAATAAAGTCATAGAGGCTCTGGAACATGTATCTTCCAAAAAATTTTTATGTTTTATTCTGGCAGGTTGATGGGAGTATCAGTAGATTACCTTCCTTGATCCTGTCAAGGAATGGCGTTAGGCTCTCCTAGGACTAGTCTGTTTTAGACTTGCTCTTTGTATGTGCAACTTAGAAATGGGCTGACAGGAGAAAAAATTTATATGGAGAATTTGGGGCTTTTTCCTGTTCTTTTTCCTTTCTCTAGGACTTTGGCAGCCTTAAACTCTGACTTCTCTCTCCTTAGCTCAGTAAGATTGCGGTTTTCTACTTAAGTTCCATCATGCTATGCCGCAATTTGGAAAATGTCTTCAGGGAGAAGTCTGGGATGGATGTGAAACTCACTAATGTTTTCCCACCTCTCAAGGATTATAGCCCCTCAATTCCTGTCGGTCAATTATATATTTTACTCAGAGTTTTTGATTGTTTTGGGAAGTGGGATGGTCTGATAATGAGCTACAACATCATGATTGGAACCATTTATGATGTCAGCCTTCACTTAATTTCCCATATCAGATATGGTACTGTTCTCAACTGTGTTGGTATCACCAATCTAGAGACATCTCTAGTCTTTTGCCAACACAAGAGAGGTACAGTCACCTGACTGAGAGGTGTGGAGGAGGCAAACTATCTGCTTATTACACAGTCTTTCAGCCAATTCTGTTTTAGCTCTGATATCCTCACTCTCACAGCACCTTATTCTAGTTATTGAGCTAGTCTATAGTGGAAATTGACTTATTTGCCATTGCTGGGTTACAATATAGCTTTCTCTAGTCTCCTAAGTTAGTTGCTGCTTATTCTTATGTTTGTTAGCTTCTAGAAATTTGTTGCTATTGTTTACTCTCCATTTCTGCCTTTTTGATCTCTTTAAAGTTGTATTCGGTTTAGGGAAGAAGTAGAGGTAGAAGTAGAGGTTCAGTTTAATATGTTTAATTCTGAATTGCACTTTATTTTTTTACTTTTTAAAGATACAGGCTGAAGAAATTACTCTTGTGTTGGGGCACCTGGGTGGCTCAGTGGGTTAAGTCTCTGTCTTTGGCTCAGATCATGATCCCAGGGTTCTGGGATTGAGCCCCACATTGGGCTATCTGCTCAGCGGGGACTCTGCTCCCCCCCCGCGCCCCCCCCCCCCCACTTGTGATCTCTCTCTGTCAAATAAATAAATAAAATCTTAAAAAAAAATTACTCTTGTGTCTTCTTTTGATTTCTCTGAAGGAAAGGCTTTGGCCATATCTGTCTGTCATTCCTACTTTTTGTGGCTAATGGTACAATTTTAAACAATGTTGAAGTTTCCTATTTTCTGATCTACTCAACTCTTATTTTCGTCTCTTTGCATCATAAATTATTAGAGTTGGTAGGGTCCTTAAGATAGTACTATGTTTAAATTGTTAGTGTTTTCAGGTGAAGGAACCAAGGTGCAGAGATCAAGTAGTTTGCTTTTTGGTCATAAATCTTTTCTCTTCGAAATCCATTGCTTTGCTTGTTATATCACATAACTCTTTGGGAAGCTCAAATGTCAAAAATGTCTTTGGTTTTATGATTTGAAATGTCTTTAATATTATAGACATAAAGTTGATAAAATAGTTGGAGACCTTAAGAATACTGTCAAGTTAGTATATGATTTTCATTTGATGCTGGAAACTGAAGCATAGAAAGGACAAACACTCCTATTTTCAGTTTATTACAAATATGAAATTGGAACAGGATTACTGTGTTCCTTCAGTTACACATTATGATGATTGTGGATATATAAACCTATAATACGTTTGTCACTGTTTCTCATTCGGTCTGAAAAATCTTTTAGGATTGTGATTCAGCTGGGAAGTCTCATGACTAGGAAATAAGTAGCTCGGTTAAATATGTTGTAAGACACTGAAAGCACTCTATCTTGTCATGTTTCTCCCTTCACTTCCCTCCAGTTACCACAGTACCCTCGTGTAGATTCTGCAGGAAAGGAGGAGTTGTGAGTTTCTCTGAAACTCATTTACAGCATATTTTTTATTCAGAAAACTTTCTGCTTTGACATCATTTGATGGCAATTAGAGTCATCCTTCTTCACTACCAGGGGTAGTAGGTCTCCTATACTGAGTTGTCAGAAACACAATGATCAGTAATGTGGTAGGCAGTACTGTGCAATACTAGGGACTCTTGGAGCTTCCATTTCGTTAGTGTGGTCCCTGGAAAGGAATTGGCAACTAAATTTTGAGGCAGAGCCAAGTTGACAAATTTTGTTTCTTTTTTTTTTTTTTTGGCAGCAGTCACAGAATAATGAGGGTTGTGAAATATGGTTATTATTTAATGTAATTTGACTTATGAAATTTAGTTTTCTAAGATGAGTTTATCTTGATTTTTTTTTTTCTAAATAGCATGGTAATGTAATATACTCATGTCCTGGAGAAATCATTAAATTCTGGCTGGTGCCCAGGTAATCATTATATTATGCCAGTTGACCAAGCGTGGACTTGAGAGGAGAGTATATATGTTTGGAATGACTTTAACTCACTGATGGTGCTGTATTGCTATTGTAATCATTAATTTCTTATTTCTCTCCAAGTTGCCAAAAGTCTTGTCCTATTTTGAAAAGCAATATGGTTATAATGTTTTCTAAGGTAGAAGAAGGTTCTTTCCTACAAAATTTCCTAAGGCATAGTTATCCAATTGATTTTACCAGAGGCTGGGTTCTGGACTTTGGTCTTACAAGCCCTGAATATAAATTTTGAATATAAATTTAAGGAGATTGGATCATATTTTAGAGGCAGAGTAAAATTAAGCAAATTTAGTATTGATGGATGAAATGAGAACATGGATTTGTTAATTTACAATGAGAAATATATAAACTGTCACAGAAATTTTATTATGGCCTTTGTAATAAGCCCATTTTCTCCTAGAAGGGAATCATACATAGAAAGCTGCTTGATGTAAATGGAAATAGAAGAGGGCAAGTTAGGTAAATTAAATATTCATTAGTTTTAAATTGATATAGTGAAAAAAATAAATAAATAAATTGATATAGTGAATTCAGGTATCTCCACAGTAAGAGTAGTCTTGCCAATAGGTAGTGCTCATGATTGTCTTGTGACCATATCATTTTCTTTCCCTCCTCCTTCCCTTTGACTTCTTTAAGCTTTCACTAACTAGCTTTTAGACTCTGTCCCCACTCATCACTCTCCTGAAATTAACTATTGCTGAAGTTGCTAATGACCTTTGTCAATATCTTAGTCTGGTAAGGATCTAATTATGATACCAAAAGGACAAATATAAAGACCAATAACATGTTTAGTTAATATCAAAATAAATTTTTATATTTAAATACAATTGAAAGGCAGATAGCATAGAAAGAAAAAATATTTTTGACAGAGGAGGGCTAACATCCTCATTAAAGAGGGGACTTTTAGAAATTACTAAAAAGACTATTCAAATAGAAAATGAAGAAAGAACATGAATGAACAGTTCAAAAAAGATTATAAATGTTCAATATATGTGGAAGAATTTTTCAAATTAACTGATAAGCAAAAGAAATTAAAAATGAGACACCATTTTTCTGTCAAATGTAGAAGTAACAACAGCAACAAATAGTGACCAGAATTTTAACATGTGCATATTCTTTGGACTAATAATTTATCCTAGAGAAATCCTTATAATAGGGTACATAAAAATGTATGTTCTGAAATTTTATCTAAAGTTCTTCTGTAATAGCAAACAGTGTAAACAATTTTAATGTCTAATAAGAGGATTAGTGAAATAACTTTCAGACACACATTCTTATTGGAGATAATAAAGTAATGCTACTAATTAATTCACATAGGGAAAAGTTTGTCTCTTTCTCCATATACATTAAGTAAATTTAGTATTCGACTTTCCAAATCATTTTCATAAAATTGAAATGTCATTATTTTTCTCTTTTTAGTTATAACTATGTCACATGAGTAAAACTCAGATAAAGTTAATTTAACTTTGAGTAAAGATTTTAAATATCTGGTTTTTAAGTAAGCAAATCACTAAGGAATTACAATTGAATTAAATATTGTTAATGATTATGGAAGACATGTTTTCTCTCTATTAACTGTTAACTTTTTAAAATGTCTAGTATATCTGTTAAGATGCCTTAGAAAAAGAATCATGGAGAAGTATGCTAGACTACAGAAGATTGGAGAAGGTTCATTTGGAAAAGCCATTCTTGTTAAATCTACAGAAGATGGCAAGCAATATGTTATCAAGGAAATTAACATCTCAAGAGTAAGTATATTTTTTGTTTGGTTAATTCAATGAATACTCTGATTTCAATGGGCTCATTGTTAGAGAATTAAAAAAAAAATATGGCATTGCATAAGATAAAGTGAAAGGCTACCATAATCCCAGAGAGAACCACTGATTTTAGAATAGTCTGTATATCCTTGCAGTTTTTTTCTATGCTGTGTGCTTATGTTTATGTATTTAAGTGTTTTAAAAAATACACTTACTGTTCTGTAACTTAATCTGGTTTGAACATTAAAATATTTTTACTTGTGGATTCAACTTTTCTTTTAACTTCTGCTTTATTTTGTTGTTTTGACTATGCTTTATTGGAACTGTTGTTTTTTACCACTCTTACTTATGGACTTTTAGATGGTTTACTGATGGTCTAATTTAATATTTTCTTTTTCTCTCCTATTTAAGATGTCCAATAAAGAAAGGGAAGAATCAAGGAGAGAAGTTGCAGTATTGGCAAACATGAAGCATCCAAATATTGTCCAGTATAGAGAATCATTTGAAGGTCAGATAAATTTTGCAAGAGAGTTCAAAGGAACTAAGCCATGCGACAACTTTTGGATATTTTACTTATAAAGTATTTTCAGGAAGAAAAGTATATTGTTTTTGCTGCAGTACATATGCATATTCATATCAACTTGATTCTAGGGTAATACCGATGTTACTGGTGGGCAGTCTGTATGAATGGAGGTTTCAGTTCTTGTATTCCCCATCAGAAGATTTATGTGGTTATCTGTGCTCTAATAAAGACAGCCAGAAGAAGAGTAGCAAACACAAAGCAGTTTATTAAAGTGAATGTACAGGGGTGTCTGGGTGCCTCAGTTGGTTAAGCATCTGCCTTCTGCTTGGGTCATGATCTCAGGGTCTTGGGACTGAGTCCCGCATCAGGCTTCCTACTCGGTGGGGAGTCTGCTTCTCCCTCTCCCTCTGCTGCTTCCTCTGCTTGTGCTCATTCTTGCTTGCTCACTCTTTCTCTCTTTCTCTGTCAAATAAATAAAATCATTAAAAAAAAAAAGTGAATGTACACTGTCAACATGGGAGAGTGGGGACATTCTTTTGTTATTAGATATTTGTTGCATCTCTATGGGCTGGGAAGAACTGTGATGTATTGTGGGTCTGTTTTTATTTTATTTAATTTTTTAAATATTTTATTTATTTGAGAGAGAGAGCAAGTAAGACAGAGCATGAGAGGGTAGAAGGTCAGAGGGAGAAGCAGAATCCCTATGGAGCTGGGAGCCCTGATGCAGGACTAGGTCCCAGAACTCTGGGTTTGTAACCTGAGCTGAAGGCAGTCGCCCAACCGACTGAGCCACCCACGCACCCTGTGTATATGTTTTTAGTCATTTGGGAGATGACTCCCATGAATTGGGAGGGGGAGTTTTTAGCCCCACAAGGTTTGTACAGAAAGGTCTGGGCAGCCTTTCTCCATCTGGTGGGGCTGTACCCACAATTCAAAAGCATTATGAGTCTAGGGCTAAGGTTACCCTGGGGCAGATGTGGCTGAGGAGAGTGCTTGGTTTGTACCTATGGCTCTTTAGTTTGTTAGCCCCAGGTCTTGGAAGCCACAAGGTCAGATATTGTGCCCCCAGGCTTTTAATGTATAGCTTATTTATCACCGTCCTTGCCTCCAGCCCTTATCTGTGCCATTCCCTTTCAAGAATTGGGACTCGGGGCACCTGGGTGGCTCAGTGGGTTAGAGCCTTTGCCTTCGGCTCAGGTCATGATCCCAGGGTCCTGGGATCGAGCCCCGCATCAGGCTCTCTGCTCGGCAGGGAGCCTGCTTCCTCCTTTCTCTCTGCCTACCTTTGCCTACTTGTGATCTCTTTCTGTCCAATAAATAAATAAAATCTTAAAAAAAAAAAAAAAAAGAATTGGGACTCTGCCTTGGGGCAATCCTTCCACTGCTCAGGTCTAGCTTCTACCTAACACTACACCATACTGTCCATGTGTAATTTTATATTGACTCACTGTTACTCTGATTGCTTAAAAAGAAGCAATGTGGTTAAGTGTAAAAATTTGTACAAAGCAAGGACAGTAATTTATATCATTTTAAATTAAACTTCTTTTAAAGTGCTACCACTACTGCCACTAAGAAAATGTTCTGATTTTTAGAAAGGGATCCTTCTCATTTGTATTCTCTTATTTACCTCATTATCATAGTAGTGAGGTGTATTGAAAGTGGTCTCAGGTTCTTAAAAATGTCATAGCTTAAAATATTATATGTTGTTTTGGAAATATATACTATTACATTTGGTAATGCAGGAACTAAGATAAAGCAAAGCTTCTCTAAAGACAGGTCAAGATGGTTTGTTGAAGTCCTTTGAATTCATGCCCATTATCATAAATCCCTATACATTACAAAACAAAGTATGTTGGGGCACCTGGGTGGCTCAGTGGGTTAAGCCTCTGCCTTCAGCTCAGGTCATGTTCTCAGGGTCCTGGGATCGAGCCCTGCATGGGGCTCTCTGCTCAGCAAGGTGCCTGCTTTCCCCTTTCTCTCTGCCTGCCTCTCTACCTACTTGTGATCTCTCTCTCTGTCAAATAAATAAAATCATTAAAAAAGAAAAAAACATATGTATGTATACATATATGTAGTATATGCATGCATGTATATATATATAGTATATGTACGTATACATAAATAGTATATGTATAAATACATGTGTATAGTATACATATATATACTGTATATGTATATTTATGTACAATATGTGTATATATACTATGTATTTTTATACTGTGTGTGTATATATATGTGTGTATATATATGTATATATATTTAATTTGACACCATTAACAGTTTGTTTAAGGCAGTGGTGGTGGGAAGGAAAAAGGAAACAAAGAATAGCTTCTTCGGGTCCTGAGTTTCTAGCTGCTTATGAGTCCTAAGTTTATAATCATGTTTTTTCTCCTTCTACAACCAATTCCTTGTTCTCCTTTGCCCTCTGCAGCATCTTGGCTGAGTGTGTTCTGTTTTACCTAGTGGAATAACCCAAACCTTTATCACTGGAGGATCTGAGTCTTTGCGAGTACTATATTTGTTGCAGTTTTTCATTAATTAATTATGGCTATTTTGCAAGCGAGTAAAAGAGGAACCTCAGTGAATCCATGGAGTTCCAGTAATAGTCCTCCTTGACTTGATTGTGTTGCAGCAACACAATTTCCTCTTGATAATCACAATTAAGCACTCCAGCCAGTATGGTGACTTTTTTTTTTTTTAAGATTTTATTTATTTATTACTTGAGAGAGAGAGAAAGAGAGCATGAGAGGAGAGAGGTCAGCGGGAGAACCAGACTCCCTGTCAAGCAGGGAGCCTGATGTAGGACTCGATCCCAGGACTCCAGGATCATGACCTGAGCCGAAGGCAGTTGCCCAACCAGCTGAGCCACCCAGGCACCCCAGTATGGTGACTCTTAACAATAATTTAGATTGAAAGTAGTAGATTATTTAAATGACTGTTTCATTATCAACTCACATACAGTCTGAATTAGAGCAAAAGTATACTCATTCCCAGATTAACTGGGTACATACTAAAGTAGAACATGCTTTAAAAAAGTATGGATCAATTAACACATTATGTTATAAGGTATACTGTATTTTATGATGGTAGTGAGATTATCATTTATGCATGTTTACGTGTACAGGAGTACAGTGTTAACTATCTTCTTCCCATGAGCTTAGATTCCTTTATCTTTCTCCTTACATCTCTTTCAGTTTCTTTTGTCTTCCATCACCAAAATTTTAGTATTTCAAATAAAAAGCTTTTAATGTATGTCAACAAATACTCTAGTAGGAATTTTTTTTTTTAAAGATTTAAAAGATTTTTAAAGATTTTATTTTATCTGAGGGAGGGTTGTATCTCACCACCTGTAAGATCACAACCTGAGTTGAAATCAAGAGTCAGACACTCAACCAACTGAGCGACCCAAGGAGCCCCATCTCTTGCTGTTTTGCAACTTCTCTCGTTATCACCATTTTTTGCCATTCGAACCATGTGTCTTGGTGTAGACCTTACATTGACCTTGTCGGGGCTCTTTGTACCCACTGAATCTGGACTTCTGTTTCCTTTGCTAGGTTAGGGAAATTTGTAGATATTTTATCTTCAAATACATTTTCTGCCCCCTTTTCTCTTCCCCATCTAGGATCCTTATAATGTGATTTATTAATTACCCTTGATGGTGTCCCTGTGTTCCCAGGTCCATCTTTTATTTTTTTTTCTCTCTCCTATTCTGTTTGATTGCTTTCTATTACTCCTGGTTGCTGATCCATTCCTCTACTTTCTTTAGTCTGCTATTTATTACATCTAGTGTATTTTTATTTTTATTTTTATTTTTTCCAAAGATGTATGTATGTATGTATGTTTGTATGTTTGTATGTATTTACATGTGAGCATGAGTTGGGGGAGGGGCAGAGGGAGGGAATCTTAAAGCAGAATCTTCACGCAGACTCCCCACTGAGCGCAGAGCCTGACATGGGGCTCAATCTCACCACCCATGAGATCATGACCTGAGCTGAAACCAAGCCTTGGAGGCTCAAATGACTGATCTACAATGTCTAGTGTAATTTTCAATTTACGTTACTGATTTCTTCATCTCTGATTCATTCTTTTTTATTTCTATCCCTGTATTAAGAGTCTCACTGAGGTCCTTCACTCTTTTCTTAAGTCCAGTGAATATCTTTACGATCATTACTTTAAATTCTCTGTCAGGCATATTACTTATCTCTGTTTGTTTGGGTCTCTTATGGCAATTTTTGTCCTATTTATTCACTTGGGATGTATTCCTCTGTCTCTTCATATTTTCTAACACTCTGTGTCTGTTTCTGTAATGTTAGGAAAGTCTTGCTACATTTTGGCTCTTGAAAGTAGTGGCCTTATGAAGAAGAGGTCCTATAGTACTATGCAGTGCAATGACCCATCTTCACTAGAACCTGGCATTTCAGGGTGTCTCCTGTGTGTGATACATATACGTCACTGTTGTGGCTGAGCTGCGTTTGTTTTTAATTAACTTGTCGGCACTGGTTCACTTTGCCTGTTGTAGGCATTGTTTGGTCCCTGTGTTGTTGGTAGGCCAGTCTGGGGTTGCTTTGGGTTTGAGTTGAGTTAGAACAGGCATTAACTAGAGGTGCAGTAGCACCAAAATGCAATGCACTGTCCGTTTGTTTTTCCCCTCAGAAACTTTCATTGGTGGGTGGGGCCTGCATTCAGGCCAGGCGTCTGCCTCCAGGGACACAGTTTGTCTGGTGTGTGTGGTTATCTTTCCCTGTCTCTCAGGCCCGAGTCACTTTGGAGGGCTGATAGCCCCTGTTGGGGCTGATTTCAGCCTGTTGTGGCACTGTTTTGGATGGGCTCTGGCCAGGGGCATATTGAAAGGGGCAGGTCCGTAGGAAAATGTGGGTACAGGGTGTAGGGTGTTAGCAAAGTTTGTGTGGGTCTGCTGTTGGAGGAAGCGTGGAAGAAGGACTTGGCTGGAGGGACTGTACCTGCAGGATGTGCTTTTAGCAAGCTAGGTGGAGAGTGTTGGCACTGCACTAGTTCTCGAAGGTGTCCATGTACTTAGGCTGGGGGATGGGGGAGTTTTATGGAGCCTACCAGTTCTTCTGCTCCTGGAGAAGCCCCCCTACATCCCTGCCCCCCTGCATATGCAGATTAGTAAATTTCTCCCCCTCCCTTATATCCTGGGCATTTTTCTTAGTGCTGCATCTCTGCTAGGTCACTCGTTGTGTTGTCTCTAAGAGTGGGGACAGTTTCCTGTTGCTCTCTCACTTTCCCAAAGCTGAGCATGCTGATTTTTAATGTTCTAGATGTTAAGCCCTGCTGATTATAAGAACTCATGAAATTATGCCCCACATAATGGTTTTTACAGCCAAATGTTGTGGGCATTCATCTTCTCTCTGCAGGTTCCCTGTGACTGGGGTGCCTGCAGTGCCTGGGGTGCCTGGGGTTAGTGTCTGTTTCCTTCTCCTCTCCACACCATGGGTGTTTCTCCCTTCTTTCCTCCTGAAGACAATCCCACGGACCTGTTTAGCTCCTGACCATATCTCTATCCTTCCTACGCTCTTCCATCTGGCCTCTTCCCTACATTTAGCTGTGGAGAGTCCCAGTCTTCCAGTCGTTTTCTGGGTTATTTACATTGATGTGATTGTTACCTGGTTTTATCCATGAGAGGAGGTGAGGCCAGGATCCTCCTACTCCACCATCTTCCTTAGAAGTGCCCATGAATTATACAGAATCTTAATTAGTCGGTCATATAGATTCCCAGTCCATGGCACGTTACGAGCAGTTTATCAAAAAGGAGGTATGAGAACTATGGGTAACAGAAACACTACACAGGGTGCAGGGTACAAGTACTGATGGAATTAGGCTATAAGCACAGAGAAGTAAGGGGAGTGAAAACTGTTCTTTGAGTTGGAGTAGTCTCACTGGTAAGTAGTGGTTTAGTAATGTTAGAAGTTATATCAGCTACTCCCTAATTTGTGCAGAATAAGCATAGTGTTAATCTAAGAATAAAGGTGGAGGGAAGGATGAGAAGGGTTCTTCTAGTCCTGTCTACCCATGGGAAGAGTGATAGAAGCCTTTCTTTCTGTGGACTGAGACATAAAGGGAAATAAGGTATTTTGCCCTATTTTCATGTTGCTCACAGATTATATCTAATTTTTAAAAATAGAAGTAAAATCAAAGAAAGCTCCAGCAGTTGTACATTCTTATTCACTGTTGAATCCTCAGAGTTCATTGTAATATCTGTTATTTGTTTAGTAAGTAGTTGATTAAGTGGATGAAACAAAGCTGAAAAGTAATGATAAATTGAAAACCAAGTTATAACCCATCTTTGACAAATTGGTAAAAAAACATTTTTTATAGATGATGTTTAAGGAAATCTGTCTATTAAATGAAACCAAGTGTATTTATCTGCATTTTGTCTGTATTCCAGAGATGTTTAGATCATTGTGGATATGCTATTCAATAAGATGCTGTATTCTTAGTAGAAAATCATTGATGATAGAGCTGCCTGTTAAACCAGGTTATCATACAATCTGTATAAGCAGTATACCTTGATTTTGTAGTCTAATTCTTTTGAAGGTGGTTCTGTTTTTAGTGGAACATAATTAATCACTGTGTTTTAGTAAATCCTTAAGTACCTTTAATTTAGCTGTGCTTTTGACTTACATTATCATATGGTTTCACTTACTTGTGGATTATAAGGAATAACATGGAGGACATTGGGAGAAGGAGAAGAGATGGGAGTTGGGGCAAATTGGAGTGGGGGATGAACCATGAGAGACTGTGGACTCTGAGAAATTAAGGGTTTTGGAGGGGAGGTGGGTGAGCCTGGTGGTGGGTATTAAGGAGGGCATATATTGCATGGAGCACTGGGTGTGATGCATAAAGAATGAATCTTAGAACACATACAAAAAAACTTAAAAAGATTTAAAAAAAATAAATGAAATGTCATGTTTATATTTTGTAGAAAATGGCTCTCTCTACATAGTGATGGATTACTGTGAAGGGGGCGATTTGTTTAAACGAATTAATGCTCAGAAAGGCATTTTGTTTCAAGAGGATCAGGTGAGTTAACATGTAGGAGATTGACTCTTAATCCATGTTATTCAGAAGCAATTCAAAATTTATGTATGTGTTTACTTGTAACTACAAAATTCTTAATTTAATTACTAGGACAGTTTGGTATCATATTCTAATATGTCAGTCATATTTCTGTTCTAATTAGCTTCCACCTTAGTCATTTCTCCATCTCACTTCCTGTCTATAGTAATATTATTATATTTATAATGTATGTTCTATCCTTTGTGTATGAATAAACACTTATATTTATGTATATAATCTAATTATTCATTATAACTATTTAAGTATTCTCTATTCTGTCTGGCTTTCTGCTAATAGACCACATTTTCCTAAAATGTGGCTTTACTAGGTAATTCCAGCTCTGGAAGCCTTGCATTGGCAACTGCATTAAATCTAATCTCTGTTTTGACCTCAAGAATCTTTAAAATAAGACCTTATCCTACTGAGGCAGTCTTATTTTTTTCCTAGTATTACCTAATGTGTACCCCTTTTCATTTATTTAACAAATATTTATTGAGCATTCATTTTGTTAGGCACTATTTGTGTTAGGAACACATGCTCATATATCTCATTCTTCTTCCTGTGTAGTTATTCTATTATTTCTTTTATTTTAGTAATACTTCCCTGCCAACTCTCTTACTAATATTCTACCTTTTTTTTTCTTTTTTTACAGCTCAGCTCAAGTCCCAGCCTTTCCTTTGATTTTCCTTAACCACTCTAATCTTCTGTGATCTTTTCCTTCTCTAAATTTCTATTGCATTTCTCATTATCACCCATTCTTAACTTGTGTGTTTTTACATAAGGGAATGGGGGAAACATTGTACTAAGAGTGCTGTATTTGTTTCTTTTAAATTTTATAATTCCCCCATGAATTAGTGTAGTTTTCTTTATTTAATAGGTAAGAAGTCTAACAGAGGTTAAGTAGCTTGCCCCAAATCGTATAGTCAGTGTTTGAACCTACTTCTGTCTAACTCCAAAATTTAATATTTGTTTACAAACTTAAATTGTACAATTATTAAAAGGTTCAGAAATGGAAATAATTCTTTGCACACTGTTCCGTCTCTGAGGATTACCACTGTTTTTAGTTTGGTACATTCTTCTAGGCTTTCTTCTTCATACTTGTACATGGAAATATATACATGAAGGCACACATATTCAGAAAGGGTATATTATACATAGCGTACTCTGTCTTGCTTTTGTCACTTAAAAATTATCTTGATTTTCCCAACCTATTAACAGGACAAACTGATGGCTGTGAGGGGGGAGCGAGGAGGAGGGGTAGGGCAAAATGGGTGTAGGTGCATGAGGGATACAGGCTTCCATTTGTGGAATGAATATGTCATCAGAATAAAAGGCACAGCATAAGGAATATAGTCTGTGATATTGTAACAGCAGTGTATGGAGACAAATGGTAGCTACATGTGTGAACATAGCATAGTGTACAAACTTGCTAAATCACTATGTTGTACATCTGAAACTAATGTAACACTGTGTATCAGCTATACTCAAAACAATTTAGAAAGTAAGGAAAATGTTATTTATAATATGGAAAAAAATACAGCTTTCATTTAAAAAATTATCTTGATTATTGTCACATGTTCCTCTGTGTAGATCAGTTATATTAGTTTTAATAGCTACATTATATCCCATTGGAGCAAGGCCTGTGCTTTTTTATTTGTTCATATTCTATTTTCATTTCATTCCCATCCATAAGCTGCTATTTTAATATTTTTAATATCTGCATATTTTTCCAAAATGGCTGTCACTATCTTGTATTTTTAAATGTGTAACTGTTGTGTTACATCTTATTCAGTTTTATTTCTCCCCTTAGTACAGTTTCTGATCATTTGTTTTGCTTTCTGTGCATTTGTTGCTTCTGCTGTATAATGCTCCATTGATATTCATCCAAGTCTACACTTAATTTACTGCATCATGCACCCTTAATGTATGCTGAATAATTTCACATTATAATTGTTTCCCCAACAAGGTTGTAATTTACTATGGAGCAGAGATTACAGTTTTCACTGATGTCCTCTTAGGATACTTAGGAAAGCTGTGTCCATAAATTAATTGGCACAACTAATCAATTGATAATACTGTGTTGATGGAGACTTTTAGCTTCTTGCCAGTAACTTGATAATATGGTAAGGTTCTGAAATCTTGAGTTCTATTTTAGTTAAGTACTATTAAATAGGGTAATGTCATACTTCTCACTTTACTTATCCTGTTTCTACAATTAAGCCTACTAGACAGAGCACAGAACTTCAGAACTTGTGTTTGAATCATTTTTCTGCTTATCAACTTGGTAATAGTTATGTTAACAAATGACTTAACTATTTTGAGACTATTTTCTCATTCTTTAATAGGGATGCTCATACCACATAGCCAACTTCACTATTGTGGTGAAGTCAAATAATCTATGCTAGTGTACAGAGTGCTGTGTTTTATTAGAATTTTATCTAATACCTTCCATTGCTTGTGCTTACATTTATTCTTTGTGTTTATTGGACTTTAAAAAATGCTTTCTATTAGATTTCATAACATTCTCCTATAAAGTACATTGATCATCTGTGGATTTGGTTCTGCAGTTGGATAAAATGTTCTTGGTACATAATGATGTATATGTATGTATATATATGTATCTTGTGGGTTTTTTGTTAAGATTTTATTTGAGAGAAAGTGAGTGAGAGAGAGGAAATAGAAGGAGCTCAGGGGGAGCAGCAGAGGGAGAGGAAGAAGCAGACTCCCCACTGAGCAGGGAGCCCGATGTGGGGCTTGATCCCAGGACTCCAGGATCATGACCTGAGCCAAAGGCAGAAACTCAACCGACTGAGCCACCCAGGTGCCCCTATATGTATCTTGTTATCCTAGAAATTAGTATGGAGATCTACTCTATATATTTTTGTCCATCTCTGAGATTATTCCATAATAAATAATGAGAATTTGGCAAGTCTTTCTTTTAAGTTAATATTTTTTGTACCCTTCAGAAAGATGATTTGTTAACACAGATAACATTATTTATTTTAGCTTATTTGTTTTCTTTTTAAATTTATTTTATTTTTTCAGTGTTCCAAGATTCATTGTTTATGCATCACACCCAGAGCTCCATGCAATACGTGCCCTCCTTAATACCCACCACCAGGCTCACCCAACCCTTACCCACCTCCCCTCCAAAACCCTCAGTTTGTTTCTCAGAGTCCACAGTCTCTCATGGTTTGTCTCCCGCTCCGATTTCCCCCAACTCCCGTTTCCTCTCCTTCTCCCAATATCCTTAATGTTATTCCTTATGCTCCACAAGTAAGTGAAACCATATTATAATTGACTCTCTCTGCTTGACTTATTTGACTCAGCATAATCTCCTCCAGTCCCGTCCATGTTGATACAAAAGTTGGGTATTCTTTCTTTCTTTCTTTTTATTTTATTATTTTATTTTTTTTAATTTTTAAAAAATTTTTAGGTATTCATCCTTTCTGATGGAGGCATAATATTCCATTGTGTATATGGACCATATCTTCTTTATCCATTTGTCTGTTGAAGGGCATCTTGGCTCTTTCTACAGTTTGACAATTGTGGCCATTGCTGCTATGAACGTTGGGGTACAGATGGCCCTTCTTTTCACTACATTTGTATCTTTGGGGTAAATACCCAGTAGTGAAATTGCAGGGTCATAGGGAAGCTCTATTTTTAATTTCTTGAGGAATCTCCACACTGTTTTCCAAAGTGGCTTGCACCAACTTGCATTCCCACCAACAGTGTAAGAGGGGTCCCCTTTTCTCCACATCCTCTCCAGTACTTATTGTTTCCTGTCTTGTTAATTTTGGCCATTCTAACTGGTATAAGGTGGTATCTCATTGTGGTTTTGTTTTAATCTCCCTGATGGCTAATGATGATGAACATTTTTTTCATGTGTCTGTTAGCCATTTGTGTGTTTTCTTTGGAGAAGTGTCTGTTCATGTCTTATGCCCATTTTTTGATGTGATTATCTGTTTTTTGAGTCCTGAGTTTGAGGAGTTCTTTATAGATCTCGGATATCAGCCATTTGTCTGTAGTGTCAATTGCGAATAACTTCTCCCATTCTGTAGGTTGCCTCTTTGTTTTGTTGACTGTTTCCTTTGTATTTTAGCCTATTTGAAACAGGAATTATTTAAAGAGAAACTTCCTACTACTACTACATCGTACTACTTTCCGGACTTTGCAGCACAAAAACGTAAAGGCCAGAGGCTATTTTTTGTTTTAGACTGCCGGGTAGCATGAATCTGAGATGGATTTTGTCCATTTCTAGAATAGAAGTGGGAAGAGCAAGACCTCTGAAACAAGATGATTCTCCAACTACTCAAGCTATCCTCTTCAGTGATACTTCCTCGTTCGCATCTTTGTTGGACAAAACTCTGTAGTTGGAAATTAGGAAGTTAAGTTATAGGTAGGAAGCAACCTAAATCTATGCCTTTTAATCAGTAGTAAGCAATGAAATGAACTAAATAATCCTTGGATGGCCTTTGCCCACATAAATATTTAAACGATTTCCCATTATTTTTACCTTATTTCCAAGTTCTGGATAAATTTCCTGATAGTCTCCTTTCTTTTGACCATATATAATTTCCAAATGTATACTTTTCTCAAAGGAAAGGGTCATCTCACATGGGTTTGCCCTAATATTTAGGTTCAGTGGGAGTGTTAATGAAGCATATAAGTACCTTGAGTTTTTTCTGATAATCTAGAGCCCTGCAGTATCGGGCATCTCCTAAGGCTGCAAAATTGATTTCTGTCCAGATGTTTTCATAAGGATCTTGGATTAGATTTTTTAAAAACATACAAACTATTATTTTCTTTTCTTTCCTAAGGCCAATACATTCTCCAGCAGATTTTACCTGTGGTACTTATAAATTTGGGTGATTTTCTTTATTCCTGAAGGTTTCCAATTCATCCATGGTTTTTGGCTATTAGGAAATGACCTTGCGGAGACCTTCTAAGTTAGGTACTAGGGC